GGAAGAGTGACAGTGTTGAGAACCTTGCAGTGGGGAGGAAGGAGCTAGAAGGGAGAGGAAGGGGGAGAAGAGGCTCAGGGCTGGGGCTGGGAGGGTTGCCGGGCTCTGTGGATCCCACTACTATGGGTGCAGGGGCCTCGGCAGGATGGGGAGGCTGTGGAGGGAGAAGCAGGAGGGGGAGAGGGAAAAGGAGGTAGAATACTCTGCACAAGGTAGGGTAGATTATTGCACAGAGAGTTGGCCCTACCTAAGCAAGTCCCACCAGCTTTCCCACCGTGGCCACAGCTCCTCCTAGACCCAGCCCTGCACATTTTGGTGCAGCGCTCAGAGTAGCCCCAGGTGCTGTCTCTGAGGGTATGTCTAGACGACAGAAGTGTTGTCGACAGAAGTTTTGTTGACCTCATTCTACGAGGAATAACGCCTTTTGTCGACAGAGTTCTGTCTATAGAAGGCATTATTGCATCTACACTGTCCTTTGTGTCCACACTGTTATGTTGACAAAGCAGCTTGCTTTGTTGACAGAACTGGATGTCGTCTAGACGCTCTTTGTCAACAGAAGCTTTGTTGACAGTATCTGTTGACAAAGCTTCTGTCAACAAAACCCTGTAGTCTAGACATACCCATACTGTTGACAAAAGGCGTCTAGATGACATCTCAGTCTACATAAGAGTGTGGACGCAAAGGACAGTGTAGATGCAATAATGCCTTCTATCGACAGAACTCTGTCGACAAAAGGCGTTATTCCTCGTAGAATGAGGTTTACATACGTCGACAAAACTGCTGAGTTTTGTCGACGTTATGTCGACATAACTCAAAGGCAGTGTGGACGCAGGTCTAGTTTTGACGACAAAAGTCCACTTTTGTCGACAAAACCCTGTAGTCTAGACACACCCTGGGACTTGGCCATAGGACAGGGGAGCCTGCGGAAACGTGGGGTGCGGGAGACCATCCCAGGTGGTGCAGCCTGGCCCCCCCTCACAACTAGTCCATCTGTAGAGAACTTAGAGAGATGGTCAGTGGACACGGTGCCTGAAGCCCAGCTCCCCTCTGTGAGCCGAAAGTGACTGTTTTAAGCTCTGCTGCAGGAGATGTGCTTGCAGCCAGGCCATGTGCGCTTCAGCCAGATCCCTGCCTCCTCCTTCTGTAGATGAACAAAACTGAAAGCCCCAGGTTGGGGCGTAGAAGAGGAATGAGTAGCCGACTCTTATCTCAGTCTTGGCTGTGTGCCCAGATTGGACAACGTTAGAAAAATGTCTTCCCCTCCCCCCCTTTTTCTGTTGACACACTTAAGGCATTTCCGTAGAAATGTTACACACCGATGCATCAACTTTCTAACTTGGAGCAAAACTCCAGCCCCAGTGGATTTCCTAGGGGAGCGTGTGGCTGCCTTTGAGAAGAAGCAAAAAACATCCATTGTGATACCACAAGCCCTTTGCAACCCCACAGAAAATCCGAGATCAACGACAACAATGATCAGAAAACGATGGGTCTTGCAACAGCTCCTGGATGTTTTTTTCCTCCAGTGGGCAGGTCGTCCGTCCTCCACCCTGTATGTCATGTGGGGACCCCATGATGCCTTGAGATCAGGACAGAACATTCCTCTGTTGGTGAGTACACTACCGATGTTAAACACGGCCAGTGCCAGCTCCTTGCCCACCCTGCTGTCCAGCCACGAGTCCTCTGCCCGTCTGTGTGCTGCCCCTTCCCACCCTCCACCAAGTCCTATGTCTCCCTCTAGTCCTTACTAAAGGTCCTAGATGGGGGCTGTTTTGCTGGGCTCACCGAAACCCTCCCATAATTATAGAATCATAGGACTAGAAGGGACCTCAAGAGGTCATCGAGTCCAGCCCCCCACCCTCAAGGCAGGACCAAGCTCCGTCTACACCATCCCTGACAGATGTCTGTCTAACCTGTTCTTAAATATCTCCAGAGAGGGAGATTCCACCACCTCCCTTGGCAATTTATTCCAATATTTGACCACCCTGACAGTTAGGAATTTTTTCCTAATGTCCAATCTAAACCTCCCCTGCTGCACTTTAAGCCCATTACTCCTTGTCCTGTCCTCAGAAACCAAGAGGAACAAATTTTCACCTTCCTCCTTGTGACACCCTTTTAGATATTTGAAAACCACTATCATGTCCCCCCTTAATCTTCTTTTTTCCAAACTAAACAAGCCCAGTTCATGAAGCCTGGCTTCATAGGCTTCTCTAGACCTTTAATCATTCTTGTCACTCTTCTCTGTACCCTTTCCAATTTCTCCACATCTTTCTTGAAATGTGGCGCCCAGAACTGGACACAGTACTCCAGCTGAGGCCTAACTAGTGCAGAATAGAGCGGCAGAATGACTTCACGAGTTTTGCTTACAACACACCTGTTGATACAACCTAGAATCATATTTGCTTTTTTGGCAACAGCATCACACTGTTGACTCATATTCAACTTGTGGTCCACTATGACCCCTAGATCCCTTTCCGCCATGCTCCTTCCTAGACAGTCGCTTCCCATCTTGTATGTATGGAACTGATTGTTCCTTCCTAAGTGGAGCACTCTGCATTTCTCCTTATTAAACCTCATCCTGTTTACCTCTGACCATTTCTCTAACTTGCTAAGGTCATTTTGAATTATGTCCCTATCCTCCAAAGAAGTTGCAACCCCACCCAGTTTGGTATCATCTGCAAACTTAATAAGAGTACTCTCTATCCCAATATCTACATCATTGATGAAGATATTGAACAGTACGGGTCCCAAAACAGACCCTTGAGGAACTCCACTTGTTATCCCTTTCCAGCAGGATTTAGAACCGTTAACAACAACTCTCTGACTACGGTTATCCAGCCAATTATGCACCCACCTTATCGTGGCCCTATCTATTACAGCATCATAAGATCAAGATGCAGTAACAGAGGCAGCTGGGAAGCAGCAAGAGGCGTGACTCAGACTTCAGTGCACTGGGGGTGAGTAGGGAGGGTTCTGGTGACACGGAGAGCAGGGCGACGAAAAGCGAGCATCCTGTCCCTTTGGTGAACTTTGCTCAGCTCATGCGCATTCGCGTTTCCTCTCTAGTGTTTCCTGTAAATGACTCAGAGTTCATTGGGGAGAGCCGGGTCCTGGTGCGGGAGATAATACGAGCGCCCCACATGCTGGTGAGTCCTGGGTCCCCCGCGCTCAGTGTGGCTCAGGAACGGGATGGTCAGGCAGCTCCAAGGAGGCAGGAGGGAGCTGGGGCAGTGGACACCATAGGGAAGGAAGCACGTTATGCCCATACAAAGCACGCGAGATCTTTTATAGGGAGAAGGCAGGACGCCGCATAGATTGGGAATACAACTGTTGCAGATGCTTTTCAATCACCCACACGTACACACCCCGTGCACACAGTCCTGCCAGTCGATGTTCTAGTTACCAGTCCAGAGCCTGCATCAACCTAGTGGCCCCTCCAGATCAATCACAGAGGGGGAGCCGGGCTCTGTCGGTCACGAGCTGAGGCTCCTGGATTTGGTGGCAAGACGAACCCAAAGTCCCATGGCAAAGCCCCCTTTTCTCATCGTCCTTTTTCTCTGTTGAAGTCGATGGATTTGTGACTGGTTACTCCTCAGTTGGTGTTAGCTTTTGTTGTTAACCTTCCACAATACCTCCTAGAGGGTCATCCTGGCCTTGATTGAGTTCATCAATTGTCTTTAACGGTTCCAGCTCCACCTTAAGGTCATCAACCTGCCCTTCCATAATCATGGATGTGCCTTGATGGTTCTCTGGCATCTCGTTACATGTCTTCACCTCTCTTCTCTTGACCATCTGGTTTTAATAACATCCGTCACATCTTATCTTTTTCTGATGCATACATTGGTCATTCACACAACCAGTCTTTTACAGCGACCTTCAACGGTATGCAAACAGCAGTGCTTTATATTGAGCAGTAGAAAAGCATTGTCAATTAAACCTTACTACCTCTTGTAATCAAAACTGTTCACACTGTGGCCCAGGCCTTTGACATCCCTCTCATCTCATTAACATAGACACAATACAAGATCCCGCGTCTCACTTACGAAACCTTAAAGCAAAGAAATGTATATTTAACTAAAGGGCACGATGGTCTTTCCCTGCCTTAGCATTGGATGGGTTTCTTCCAGTGGCCCAGAAGGTCACAAACAAGGGTATCTGGCAGGATGAAATTAAGTCATACCTTACAACATTATTAAGCCTGAAATATAACATCCTACTCCTGCAATCACAGGGGGAGAGAAGGATGGCTGGGAACCACTTAATGATTAGTGTGAGGGAGAAGGGTTGGGATCCAAGACCTCTGGGTTCTATTTCAGCACGAGGAGGGAAGTGGGGTCTAATAGTTAGAGCAGGCTGGCTGGGAGGCAGAACTCCTCCACTGCAGAACTTCCTATTTCGTCCACAAATTAGGTCCAACCTCCAGCGCACCAGTTTTGACTCTCACACTCCCAGCTCCATGTCACCTAGTTTTAACAAGCATGATTTCAGCATGGTCCTTAGGTTATATCAAAGTCTTTTTTTAGATCAGACTAATCTAATGTCTAGGTCTGACTTCCATGAACCTTTGACATAAGAAAGTTACAACTAACTTCCTTTATGCTAAATCAAAACTGAGACTCGCTGGTGTTAAGTGACTGTACGATAGTTAGAAAAAACAGCTTGTTTCATTCCCTTGGCTGTATGCCCAGCATGGGTAAAGATCCAAAACCTCCCTGCTCTTCTATTATTCATACAGTTAAACTTAAGAAGTTACACAAAGCATGAACTTTGTCAGCTGTTTCTTCCTGAAAAAGTCCCATTTAGGAAAAAAGCGGCAGCCGCCATTATGCAAATGAAGTGTGGCATATTTCAATCCCAGCTTCAGTTTCAGTTTCGATGAGCCAAGTCTCCATCCCTTTCTCGGAAAAGGGGTGTTGTTTAGACGGACCGTCGCTGTCTCCCGTTCCCACCCGGAACAAAGACCTGTCTCTCCAGCTAGTCCTTCCCAAACATCACAGCTGTGGAATAAGCAGCTGTGGCTGTTCTGCTGGACTTGCTGAAACCCTCCCCTAAAGGGAACTCACGTTCTAACAGAGGCAGCTGGGAACAAGGAGCAGGAGTTTTCCTTGACTGAACTTTGTGTGTGGTGAGACACTGCAGCCTGGGGAGCACCCCCCTGAGCGTGACCTGGGGTGAGTACAGTGGGAGAGCCAGGGGAGCAGTGGGGTGAGGCTGGGAATGGGGCACCTACTCATGGGAAGAGCTGGACACAAGAGGTGGAGGGTTAAGAGGCTGGAAATGCAGGGAGGGAGTTCTGGGGGGCACCAGGACAGAGTGGTATGGGGGGGCGGAGGTGGATTGCAGTGGGGTCAGCCTGGGCCAGAGCAAGTGGGGTCCCCTTCCCTTCCCTTCTGCCTGGAGTCCCCAGAAATTCTGCGAGGGTGTGGTGTCACTGCACAGGGGCTGGCCTCTCTCTTCTGGGTGCCTCTGGGACTTAGAAGGAGCTCTTAGTGAGCACCACACACCCCTCCCTCTGCTCCCAAGCATGAACCTGAGTGGCTTGGAGTGGTCTGGGGAACAGGGGAGCCCTGATTTCATGGTGCTGCTGGGGATAGATGCCAGTGGACAATCCACCATTGTGGGAAGGGAAGGAGGTGAGGGGCTTTGCTTGGCTCCGAGGGGGAGGAAGCAGAGAGCAGGTTGGGGGGTGGCAGAGAGGAGGGGTAGAGTTGCGGGACAGCCACATGGGTTACTGGATGGAGCAGACCGGTGGGGGAGAGGGATGTTAGTCTGGGGAGCAGATGGGGGGGAGAGGCGAAGAACAGTCCCTTGTGCAGGGAAGGACACAAAGATTGGGGGGATCCAGAGCTCAATCGGGGCATTTCCAGATTCCCAGCCCACAGCCCAGGCTGTTACCACTGTGATAGCAGTTGACCGCCTCACCGCTGCCTTGGGAGTCGGGGATCTGAGCTGGTAATTGATGAGGAAGGCAGGTGAGTGATGCCTCAGCCAATAAGGGTGAAGAGCAACCTGCTCTCAGAAACTCCCTCCCCCTGGAGGTCCCTACAGGCCAGTGCTGAGTCTGTTTTTACCTACAGTCATCTCGGGAGTTGACCTTGTCCGACGTACCTAACATGCTGGTAACAACTTGGTCAATTCAGGTGACAGTGAAATTGACAGCAGCTGTTTGAACACTCGCCCTGGATTTCTTCATTAGCGTTTTCTCACAAAATCCCTTTCTTGGCCAGCAACACTGGGGAGAAGGAGCCAACTTTGATGTGTAGCAAAACTTACAATTTTGTCCACTAATTATGTTGAAAGTCCAGCGCATCAGGTTTCGTTCATTAACTCCCAGCGCTGTGTCACCTGGTTTTAACAAGTGTGATTTCAGCTGGGTCCTTAGGTTATATCAAAGTCTTTTTTTAGATCAGACTAATCTAATGTCTGTGTCGGGTTCCTTGCACCTTTCATATGATAAGAAAGCCGAGGAGCTTACAACTAACTCTCTTTATACTAAACCAAAACTGAAACTCACTGCTGTTAAGTGGCTGTCAGATACTTAGAAAAACCAGATTTTTTCATGGCATTGGCTGTGTGCCCAGCATGGGGAAAGATGCAAATACTCCCTCCCTGCCCTTTTATTGTTCATACAGTTAAATTTAAATAGTTCCACAAATAGTAACTTTGTCGGCACTAATAGACGAGCTAGCTTCTGTGGAGAAAATCATTAAACCTGAGGGCATGCTTACTTACGTGACTGGCCATTCATAAAAAGACAGAAAAAAAAACCCTGGTTCCTTTCAAATCAGATTTACTTTCACAAGCCACATAGAATCACAGAATCCTTGAATCCCAGGGCTAGAAGAGACCACAGGAGTCATCGAGTCCAGCCCCCTGCCCAAGGCAGGACCAACCCCAACTCAATCAGCCCAGCCAGGGCTTGGTCAAGCCGGGACTGAAACACCTCTAGGGATGGAGACTCCACCCCCTCCCTAGGGAACCCAGCCCAGCGCTTCCCCACCTGCCTAGGGAAATCATTTTTCCTAATCTCCAACCTAGACCTCCCCCACTGCAACTTGAGCCCATTGCTCCTTGTTCTGCCATCTGTGACTACTGAGAACAGCCTCTCTCCATCCTCTTTGGAACCCTCCTTCAGGGAGTTGCAGGCTGCTCTCAAATCCCCCCTCACTCTTCTCTTCTGCAGACTGAACAAGCCTGAATCCCTCAACCCCTCCTCATAGGTCGTGTGCTCCAGCCCCCGAATCATTTTGGTTGCCTTCTCAGTCAGTCCCCAGCCTGTACCAATGTTGGGGATTCTTCCATCCCAAGGGCAGGACTCTGCACTTCTTGCTGATCCTCCTCCGATTTCATTTGGCCCAATCCCTCAATTTGTCCAGGCCACTCTGGACCCGATCCCTGCCCCCAGCGTATCAACCTCTCTCTCTAGCGTCATCCACCAACTTGCTGAAGGTGCGACCCAGCCCCTCATCTGGGCCATTCATGAAGATGTTGAACAAAACCGGCCCCAAAAACAATCCTCAGGGCTCTTGCAACACCTAAATCTGGTACAAAACCAGAGACATTTTTACTCTGATGAAGCCGGCCCCTGTGTGTTACCACCCACAGTCATGAAGACAAAATGGTCACAGGACCAACTTGGCTAATCTTGGGATATGACCCGTGTGTCTGGCACCCTGGTGTCCTGGATGCAGAGAGCGATGTAACTGATTGAAAACTGCCAGTAAAAGTCGGTATTGCAATAGGCCTGGGCTCTCTGCAATTGACGAGTTTTTTTTCCTTCAAGGTGCATAGTGCCTGGACTCTCATTGCTCAACCTCCATGGTGCATGTCCCTGGGTAGCACTTCCCTAGGCCTCGACATCAGGAGAGAACTTTCCCCTGCCAGCTAGTAAACCCCAGATGGTAGAAACAGCCAGTGCCAGCTCCTGGTGCACCCTCCTCCCTCGGCCTGAGCCCCATGCCCGTATCTTCATGTGTCAAAACTACACCCCTTTTTCCAGGATGTGAGTTTTCTTTAGGGGAGGGTTTCTGGGAGCCCAGCAGAACAGCCCCAGGCGCTCATGCCACAGCTGTGACCTTTGGGAGGGACAAGCTGGAGACACAGGACTTTGTACCTGTTGGGAACGGGAGGCACAGCGGCAGTTTAGAGGGGATCTTTCGAACATAACGCCCTTTTCTGCAAGATCCCTTATTCCTCACAAAATGAGGTTTCCACGATCTTTGAAAAAGAGCTTGCTGTTCAAAAGGTCCCGTCTAAATGCCGTTTCTTCCCGAAAAAGCCCCATTTTGGAAAAGAGCAGCAGCCGCCCTTATGCAAATGAAGCACGGGCTATATGAACCCCTGGTTCATTTGCGATATCGACAGACCTAGTCTCCATCCGTTTCTCGGAAAAGGGGTGTCGTTTAGATGGACCGTTGCTGAGTCACCCGGTATGAAGTCCTGTGTCTCTGGCTAGTCCCCGCCAAAGGTCACAGCTGTGGAACGGGCAACTGGGGTTGTTCTGCTGGGCTTGCCAAAACCCTCCCCTAAAGGGAACTCATGTTATAGCAGAGACAGCTGGGAACAAGGAGCAGGAGTTTGAATCTTTATTGGGCTGATCCTGCCCTGCCAACGCAGGGATTTTCCTGCACTGAACTTTGCTCAGCTTGTGACTAACTCTCAATATGGTACCTGTCAGAGCCCTGGAGAGCTCAGTGCAGCCTGGGACACAGGACCGGCTGCGTCGCCTCATCTCCCAGGTGACAGGGTTCTACGCAGGGTGAGCAGGTGGCCCTGGGAAAGCAGCTGAGAAGTGACATTCTTCCCAACGCAGACCCCACCTTCCAGATCCAGGTGACCATTGAGCCGGGACAAGAGGGCGGCCAGCCCCCCGGAGAACGTGTGTGTGGTGAGACACATTAAGCCTGGGGAGCATCCACTGAGGGTGACCTGAGGTGAGTGTGATGGAGCATTGAGGTTCCCCCGACTCCTGCACCCCTGTAGTGGCACGAACAGACTCAACCAGTAGAACAGAGGGAGTTTATTGCTTCTCTGGGATACAGCTCAGCACAGACGTAATCTGATTCCAGGGCAGGCCTAGGATGCCTCAGCCCCCCTTGAGATGGGGGAGCCTGGGCCTCTAAATTCCAGCCTGTTGCGTAGGCTGCTTCCTCCATGATTTCAGACAGAAACTAAAACTCCCTTCCAGCCCTGCCCCCAGCCAGGTGCTGGTCTCTGCCCTCCTCCCTTTGTCTCTCCCTGGGAGGCTGAGCCTGGGTTAATAGACATTTAGGAGAGTCAGTGAGAATGTCCCATCCCAGAGCAGGGGGACCCCTGGTCACAGAACAGACAGCCCCCCACCATGCCACAGGGGGGAAGAATGTGGACACAAGGGGTGGGGAGATGAGAGGCTGGAAATGCAGGGAGGAAGTTATGGGAGGCACCAGGACCAGAGGACAGAGAGTGGCACTAGGGGGAGGCCGAGGTGGACTGCAATGCGGTGGGACCCTGAGCTAGAGAACGTGGGGTCCCCTCCCCTCCCCTTCTCCTCTACCTGGAGTCCCCAGAACTCCTGCCAGGGAGTGGGGTCAGGGCATAGGGGCTGGCCCCTCTCTGCTGTTCCTCAGACGGAGCTCTGGGTGAGCCCCACATACTCCCACCCTGCTCCCAAGCAGGAAGCTGGGTGGCTAGAATGGGTTGGAGAACATGGGAGCTTCAATTGCCAGGTGCTTATGGGCAAAGATGCTGGTGGCCCAGTGGACCATTAGGGGAAAGGGAGGTGGTGAGGGGCTTTCCTCGGCTCAGAGGGGGAGGAAGCAGAGAGCAGGTTGGGGGGTGGCAGAGAGGAGGGGGTAGAGTTGTGGGACAACCACATGGGTCACTGGATGGAGAAGAACGGCAGGGGAGAGGGATGCTAGCCCAGGGAGCAGGCAGGGAGGGGAGGGGAGGTCATCTCTTGGGCAGAGAAAGACACAGAGTTTGGGGAGGTCCATAGCTCAGTCTGTCTCGGGACATTTCCAGATTCCCAGCCCACAGACCAGGGTGCTACCATGGCGATCGTAGTTGGCGGCCTCATTGGCTCAGGAGTTGGGGCTCTCATCGGCACGGGAATTGGGGCTCTCATCTCATACTTCAGGGACGAGCCAGGTGAGTGATGCCCCATTCTCATGTCCGGTATATACACTGCCTACGGTTCCACCAGCCGGCCGGCTCTGGTTCCCCACCCTCTGGGGGAATGTCTGCCCTGGGCTGGGCGCCAGGAACCCCAAACCAGTTCTCCATCCCCTGCTCGCTGCCTTGAGACAAAGCCTGGCTAGAAAGGGGGGAACTGAGCCAGGCCAGCGCCCGCGTTCTCCACCAATAAGATCCTGGTGCTGAAGATGCGCCTGGCACCAGGTGTGCTGGCTCCAGGCAGGTCCCTCATGCTCAGGTGAGGATGCTCTGTCCCAGAGGGACTTGTCCATGGGGCTCTTTCCTCCAAGGAGATATTGTCTCCCAGCCCCCCGCTCCCTCCAGCCAGGCTGTAGCCAGCCATGTAATGGCAGAGCTAGGAGTGGAAATTTGGGCGGGTGGTTAATGAAGAGGTGTAGGGGGTAGTGAGGAGAAAGGATCCTGCATCCTGGTTCCCTCTAGCCCAACCTTATTGCTCAGCAGGCACCAGAAGATGAAGCCGCACAGGCTGAAGGGAGCACCCATGGGCTGGGGGGAGCCCTACAGGGGCTCTATCTCCACCCACCCCTCCATGGTGACCAGGTCTCTGGTGTTTGACTAAAACACATGGCTCGTGCATGTTAGAGCAGCCCGGGGAGCCGCTCCTGTTTGCTGGGAGCCACGGCCGATGGGAGCTGTAGGGGTGGGGCTAGTGGGGGCCTGAGGTTCATTCTTCCTGGTGCCCACACCCGAATCACATCCTTGGCCCAAACCTTTTTCCCCAGCCCTGGTTCCCCTCCTGCCTTCTGAACCCCGGGTCACAGTCCTGATGCCTGCCCTACACCCTGTCAAAGTCAGACAGGACTTCTACCTGCCTTCTGATTTTAAGAGGAATAAGGGATCTTCCAGAAAAGGCTTTATTTTCCGAAAGATCCCCGTCTAGACTGGCGCTTTTTTCCGGCAAAGCCCCAA